CGGGGATCCGGCGCGGGGGGTCCCAGGCGGTGTGCGGGACGCGGGTGGGGTCTGTGCCATCACGCCATCCTCCTCCGGCGCTGCTGCCGCTAGGTGACAGCCTTGGTCCGGCGCGGTCCTGGCTGCTCCCGGCCCCGGGAACGCTCCGGAGGGCGAGTACAGCACCGGAGATCCCTCGGCTGACACCAGCGGGCTCTTCCCGAGCGTGTTTGGGTCAGGCACACCCGGGACAGGGCAGTGCGTGCCCCACTCTGCTTCCTCTGGTGTTGGGTGGGCCCTCGGAACTCACGGATGGTCCCTGGTCTGAGGCTGACCCTGGGGAAGGTCCACCCACTCCCCGAGGGGCTGGAGGCTGGGCTGGGTCAGCGGCCAGCTCTTATTGCCCCTTTTTTTGGGGCCAGTTCTTATTGACCCTTTTTGGGGTCAGCTCTTATTGCCCCTTTTTCTGGGGCCAGTTCTTATTGGCCCTTTTTTTGGGGTCAGCTTTTATTGCCTCTTTATTGGGGCCAGCTCTCATTGCCCCATTACTGACGCCAGTTCTCATTGCCCCTTTTTTTGGGGCCAGCTCTCATTGCCCCGTTACTGAGGCCAGCTCTTATTTGGGCCACCTCTTACTGCCCCCTTTTTGAGGCCAGCTCTTGTTGTCCCTTTATAGGGACCAGCTCTTGTTGCCTCCCGCCTCTGGGGGCTGTGCACAAGTTGGCAGAGCCGGTCTCTGCTTTGGGAAGAGGAGAGGGTTTGCACTAAGGCAGAGGGGATGGGCTGAACAGGAGGGCCTGGCTCCGTGTGTTCCCGTGGTGTTTTTAGGCTGGGAACGGTCTTCCCAAGGAAGGGAGCTTTACCTGGTAGCCAGGGGAAAGTGGAGAAGGCCCTGTTGGTTACTGAGCCCCATCACGGGGCCCTTAACTGGTGTGCAGTGGGAACAGGCTGGATTTAGCAGGGGGCTGTTCCTGTAACCTCCAGGAGCTGCAGCTCAGGGTGTTTGGAGCAGGATGCCTCCAGCTCCGTTCCACACAGCCTGGGCTCCAGCAGGGACAGGCAGGGGAGCGCTGGTGTTCAGGTGAAAACACAAACCAAGGCAGTCAGCCAGGCTCTGCCCAAATTCAAACCCAAGGAACCATCCCAGTGAAAGCCTGAAAGGAGGCCCTGACAGCACCGTGCACTGTTGGAGGTCGCTGTGGTAAGCCCCAGACTGCCTGGGTGTCCTCCCTGAGGTCTCTCAGCTCCCAGTCTGACTCTCTCTCTCTCACCCTTTTATTTT